TGCTGCGATGCTGTGACGAAGCGATGCTGCGATGCTGTGACGAAGCGATGCTGCGATGCTGTGACGAAGCGATGCTGCGATGCTGTGACGAAGCGATGCTGCGACGATGCGATGCTGTGATGCTGCGCTGCTGCGCGCTCACATCCGGACCGCACAGTCCCCCTCCGGCTCGTTCATGTGAAATTGTCGGTTTAATCTGCGGTGGTTTTCAGAAGCGTCGTGTTTTACAGCTTCTCGTCTGGCGTCAGCTTTCTGCCTCTGACATTTCAGAGGTCACCCTTGAGTGAGTCCGATAAAAAAAAGGTCATTCCAGCCGGCGCTCCGGGTCTCTGGGCGGTTCTGCTCGGCTTGGGTTTGTGATTGGACTTTCATGATGCTTTCTCTCCTGAATTTGCTGCTGGTCAGTGAGACGAGGAAAAGACTCGCTCCTCTTTCTCACCTCTCTGTTCTGGTGAGAGGAGTGGGAGTCGGGTCAAAGGTCGTCAGCGATTGAACAGCAAACAAATCACTGAGCAGCAGAATAAATAATCCAGAGAAAAATGCCAGAATCACAAAGATCTCTGTCCTCCAGACTGAATTATCTGTTTCTGACATTCTTTGTTTCATTTCGTCTTTATTTGAGAGAGAATCAAACAAAGACAAAATCAAATCTCTTGATTTTTTTCCTTTGCTATAAATGCATCAGCGCATAAAACTCCCATTATTTCAGCCTGAAATGCAGCAGAATGAACTTAAGGGCAGCATCAGCTTAAGGTTCGCCGGGTATGCTAGCATGTAAGCTAGCATATAAATAGAAATATTCCCTTGGATTAAACACTGCCACCTCTGCTAATGTTAGAGCTCAACAATAAACAGAAATCTGCAGCAGGCAGGAAATGCCTTCAGCCTAGAATTTAATCTCAACAGTTTGTTGTTTTTCTGCTTGAATGTTGCTTTACATAGTAAACAGTTTACAATAAAGTCAGACTCAGTATCTGGTCTCAGTCTTCAGTGTTACAGAAAAAGACTGAGGTTTCTGCCATCCAGGTTCTTATGTTGCTATTTTATTAAACAGCCATTTACTGCTGGTCTGAATCTGAATGAAACGCCTTGTGAGCCGTCGGTCCTGGTTTGATGGATGGCAGGTGAGACGTGTTCAGGCTCCTGAGCATCAGCACAGAGTCATGTTGGATGATCAGCTGATCATCTGGGGCTGAGCTGCTGACCAACAATTCATAACTATCCAAGTCATCACAGTCAAACATTACTTGATTCTTCATCGGTGCAGACAGAGAGTCTACGTTGTGTCTGTGATGTTTGAGCAGTAGCTTTGTTAGTACGAGGTTTGCAGAAGTTTCATTTATCTGATTGATTGGTAGAAACTCAGCATGTTGACAGAGTTGATCTGATCGACTCCACAGCCTGAAGACCAAAACATGGTTCTTTACTTTGGACGATATTAATATTAACCACTTGATGCTCTTTGGGTTTGATGTGTGGATCAGTCTCATATGTAGTTAAGAGTTTTTTTTATTTAAACAGAAAACTTCTTATGAAATGACCGGAGTCCTAACTGTTTCCACCTAAGATGCTCTGGAGCCGTTTTAGTGCAAACATCTGAGCCATAAAAAGTCAAACTGGAGAGTCCAGCAGCTCCGTGTCTGCAGCCCGGATTCGGCCGGCCGCTTTTCTCCCTGTCGGCTGTAATTTTCATCAATTTTCATCAATATCCAGGCGGAAGGCTCCCGGCGTGTCCCTGGTTCTGCTGGAGCGGAGGAACATTTCCCCACATTAGACTCTAAAACTACTTCTGTGTTTACAGCAGCAGGAGGCAGGAAAATGAAACAAGATTATGTGTTTTATGTTTTCCAAGATCGAAGCAACATTTCAGAACGACTCCATCTGCTTGAATAATGCAACTGCTTTATTACAAATGTGTCATCTCTCATTGCTTTATTTTAGCCTCTATTTTTGCTTTGCTTTTTTTCTCCGCTGTTGTCATTTTGCACAGCAGCTGAATGCAGGATTAAGTATGAATTTAATTTCAGAGAGCTGCTGATTTCATGTTTACTGTGTGAGTCTGTAGAAGAAGCTGCTTTGCTTTATGAGGACACGTCGTTCATTGATGAACTTCTGGGACGTTAATGTAACTGTGTGTGATTCCAGCTGCCAGTTTGTTCTGGTTTTGGGTGAATTACAGGGGATGTTGTAGCTTCGCCAGGCAGGCTGGTTGGTGGAACTTGATGAGATGTTTCTGTTGCAGGAGGTTCTGGGCCAGAAGCTACGGTACCGGTCGAAGAGAGCGCTCCTCGTCCCGCCGATGATCGTCACTGAGAACCAGAGGGCTCCGTTTCCCAGGCTCATCGGCAAGGTAACAAACTCTGGCTCTCTTCTGCTCTTCGTTTACTGGTAGGATTCAATATTTGCTGTTTACGGCAGTAAAGATGGCCGCCGCAGTAAAGATGTCCGCCATCTCTGGATGGATTGTAAAGTTGCTGAGAGCGACGGGACGGTCAGCAGACGGTCAGCAGACGGTCAGCAGGAAGCTGATGAAGCTAACAGCTAACAGCAGCCTTTAGTGGAGCTGCAGCCTCTGGCCCGGTTCTGACCCGGTTCTGTTTGGATGTCGGGTGGGATGTGATGCGTTCACTGACTCAGACTGCTTTCATCACTTCATGATCATCATTTTCAGCCACAGTCTAGATTTACCGTCTGGATTCTTCTGCTGCTGAGTTTTGACCATGTTTCACTTTAGTGAAGGAGAAATCAGATCAAATCGACGTTCAGACTGCAGACACTTTTAAACTCTCAGATATGATTTAGTCCCACATCTGGAAGAGGAGCAGATCGGGTTGTTTGGGGTGAAAAGGTCAGACATGAGTCTCATTTGCTCTCTGTCACCATTTAAAGGCCTACACTCTTTTTCGACCCACCTATTGTCGTTTTATTCGATATATTTTTGACCTCAAATCAAATTTGTTTGTTTTGGGTGTGAAATTAACAGGGTACCTGTCGGTGTGTCTAATCGGTAAACTGGATGGCATCATGGAGACAGCTTGCTCTTCACTGATTTAGTTTCTAAACATCCCGATCCAGAGGCAGCCGGCGGCTGTACAGCAGGGAGTTTTTACATGAAGGCAAAGCAACAAGCAGGCGATGACAGAACTGGAGCAGGTGGAGACTCGGCTCGCCCCGTTCAGGGCAGAACAGAACCGACCTGAAGCAGCTAGGCCAGCAAATACATGTGTATTATGTCTACAATACACACTCATGTCCTTCTGTTCATGCAAAGACCAGCTGGATCAAGTCACAAACATTACATTTTACCTACTTACATTTTCATAGAAGCAGATTTTAGAGGTTCAGAAAAGTTAGCAAGAGATTCCAGTTTCCTTCCTGGAGCGGGTCAGTGGGTCCGTCAAGTTCACAGGATTTAACTTTATTTCTCAATATGAGCCAAAGAAAAACAAAGTTCATGAAACTGTAATATGTTTCATACAGCAGGAAAGCTTTAAATTAATATAAAATTAAACAAAATTAATATAAAAGGGATTTTACTGACAGGTTGGAGGATAAATTTGTCAAATGTTTAGTTTAAACTCAGCGATCTTAAACTAATGTGAAAGCTGCAGTAAAGCTGTTTGAATATCGTTTGTGAAGCTTTTTGCTGGTCAGTATTTTGTTTTGCTCATATGTAAAATTTGACCTTTTTTCATACAAGTACAAACAAAAGGTGGTTTGTTTCAGTGGAGGCAGATGCAAAGTTTGCATTAGGACATTTTAAACATCATTAATTGGAATTTATCATAACAATAAATCAAAATGGTATCATGATAAGACATTTATCACAATAAATGATATAATAAACGATACGATAAGTGCCCAAAGCTAATCTTTGACTCATAAGAACTGGAAAATGGATCCATTTCTGCAGACATACAGTTGTGTCGATGCTTCTGATGGGTTGAAGCTCCTGGTTCTGAATCCCAGAACTCGCTCCGATCCCATTCCGAACTCGGCACCGTTGGGTTTGCTTGCTCTCCCGGTGCGTTCTCTCTGGATACTCCAGCTTCCTCCCACGACCCAAACTCATGACGTCAGGTCGGACGGCTGCTGCAGTGACAGAGTCAGCATGGAGGATGAAGCCTGAAGCCGTTCTGGTCACTGACAGACGGTCTGCGGACTCCAACATCTGAAGAAACCCACGCTGCCCCGTCTCCTGACGGATAATTGGACCCTAGGGAGCATGACCCGGCCCGGAGTCTGACTCTGTGGCTCAGACCGATGCGGTTCCGCTCAGTGAGGCGAGCGAATGCCTGCAGATATCAGGTAATGAAGATCGGTGGACTGACTTCATCTGGCATGCATCTTCTCTCTCTTCAGGGGAAGTTTTGGGGAATTCATGCAGATTTGTAGTCTGGCAAACTGGAAGTGGATCCAGAGTCAGGAGACCCTGTGGAATGTAAATCATGTCTGTGGGCCCAGCAGGAGCTGCAGGGCGTTTGCTGCATTTCCTCCCAGGCTGCAGCAGCACACCTTTTACAAGACACTTCATATTCTCCCCCATCACTTATTCCTGCTTCTTAACACTTTGCATTTGCAAATTTGATTATCTTTTCATCCTTTGTTCTTCATCCCTCTCCTCTTCCTCCACACTCAGCCTTGCATGAGGAGACGGGATAATACCGGCTATTTTACCCTGTAGAAAGCTATATGTTTGCCACTTGGCAAAATTGATTTTCCACACCAATAGTTTTCCGTCTTCTCATACAACGTAGCACTTCCATATGGCAGCCGTTCATTTCTCATCCTCTCTCTGGGAGATAAGCAGTTTGAAGGAAGGATGAGCCCAGATTGCAGGAGCTCCGACTTGACATGTGTGGCTGTGTGCATATATAACTCCACTAATGCAGGCGGTGTGTGTGTGTGTGTGTGTGTGTGTGTGTGTGTGTGTGTGTGTGTGTGTGTGTGTGTGTGTGTGTGTGTGTGTGTGCTGGAGGCAGGAAGGTGGGTCGGCTGTCAGTGCAGCTCACTGGGGAAGGGTAAGAACCTTGTTGTTTGTGTCACACCTCCTGCCAGCTGTGGAATTGTTTTGATGCAGAGGTCTGTGCGCGGCCGTCCCTCCGGGCCTGAAAACGCCTCACAGCAGCTCATACAGCAGCTCGACGTGCAACGAGACTGATGTGCTTAAATGTTCCCCACTTCAGCCTCTGCTAATTGGAGAATCTTAGAGTGAAATCAGTCACAGCTCAAGCAGTTGAAATGTTTCTTCCTGGGATGTTTGTGATCCGATGTGGGGTAAAACTGAGCGTACCGCCGCTCCACCCTCAGCGCTGCTGCGTCTCTCAACTGAAGGAAGACGAAAACACACACGAGTCATTTGGGTGAAATAGATGTGCTATAAATAATAACACACCGATTTCACTTGGGAAATTAACAGTTTTAGTTTAGGAGCAGCAAAATCATGAGTGTGAAATATTAGACCAAACTTCCTCCCTCCCTGATGAGGCTAACATAAAGGTAATAAAGCTGTAGAGATGCATGCTGGGTAATCTGGGATCTTTAAATGACTCATTAGGTTGTAAATTGGTTCTTATTGACGTGTTTATCAGCTCAGTGACTGTTTGGATTCTTTAACCTCTTGGACATTCGTCTGGGGAAACAGAACGAAAATGTTTGTGTGTAACAATAATTTATTGTTTTAACTTTTAAATGTTGCAAAGGTTCGATTTTACGGAAACATTTAACTGACAAAACCAGGAAATAAATTCAGCAGCAACATAAGAATGAGGTTTATAGCCTGATACAAACCTCATCAAAGTTAGCTTCAGATCTCGTTATTTTGAGATTTATGTTTGATTGTCGTCTGGAGGAAACTAAGTGAGAAGCAGCAGAATCAGAGGGAAACTGATTCTGCTGCAGACCAGGACGGCTTTTAAAGACGTGTGTGTGTGTGTGTGTGTGTGTGTGTGTGTGTGTGTGTGTGTGTGTGTGTGTGTGTGTGCTTTTAAAGACGTCCTGGTCTGTCGGAGGATCGGATTGAAGCACTGACAGAGAACTCGTCATCACCAGGGATTCATTTCCTGTACGAGTCCACAGGATGGTGAAGCTGATCTTGTTGGCCTGGAACCAGATTCTGCTCTGCTCTGGTTTGGGTCGTTTTCCTAAATGTCCCCATATCCCGATGCTGAGCTGCCATGTTTCAGTGAAAGATCATTATGTCAGTAAATATGCGTTAATATATTTTAAGATTCACTAAATTATGACAATGGAGCAGATATTCTTTGTACCGTGTTGGGTCTTAGGTCCGGCTCGGTCCGGCTCACCCTGACCGGGTCCGGCTCACCCTGACCGGGTCCGGCTCACCTGTCGGACCAGGTGAAGTTCTGTTTTGGAGAGCACTGAGGGCCCGTCTGGTTTGCAGCTAAAGTAGTAATGGGAGGAATCTTCCTGGATGTTACTTGCATCAGCTCAGCCGTCTCTCTGGGATCTGGCTCTCCTGCTGCTGACTGTCGGCTGTTAGACGACTAAACGTCTGATCAGTTTTTTCTGGAACGTTTGAAGCCCCGTTGAGCTCGTCACCGTCTGAGGCGTTCGATATCAGAGCTTCATCCAAGACAGGAGCAACAGAAAGCAGGCAGCCTGCAGGCCTCGTTTAGTCTAATTGATTCTCTTAATTATCTTGGGAAAACTGTCCCACACACTCACACACACAGACACACACACACACACACACACACACACACCGTGTCATTTCTCCTCAAACAGAACAAGGGGATATTCAGGTGTTTTTATGAGGTAATGATTCTGTTTGCTGATGTCAGATCTTCAGGTTTTGCCTCATATTAACAGACGTCTGTGGCTGAATTCATGACATGAAGCAGCTTTTATTTTTCTGAGTTTCTTGACTCCAGAAAGAAGCGCTGACGGTGTGAGGCGTTGTCAGGCTTTAACCCAGATCCCAGTCCGCTGCCTTGCTGCTGCTGCTTCTCTGTGCGCTGTGAGGTGTTTGCTGTGGCAGAGCGTCGCCACACCCCCTGCCATCTTCCTGCAGGATGCTGAGCTTCACAGGCTTTCATGTGCGCTCGGCTGGTAATGAGAGCTGATGGAAAGAGGTGAGATTCCCCCATCAGTCCTCCCACACACGCAGGGGGAGACAAAGCCACTGGGTGCAGATTTCTGCCCTCATCAGAGTGTGAGCGAGCGTGCACTGCTGATGATCAGTCCTCCACCCTGCAGAGTGGAAACTTCTCCTGACACTTCACTTCCTCCTCTGGTGAACTGGCTTGGTCTTGAGCTCTGATCTTTCACACTTCCTGTCTCCTCCATCTAGGAGGTCCACTCCTGTCATTCCACTGAAATGGTTCAACTCCACCCTGCTTTCTTCATTTTGTAAGGTTTCAACTCAGATTGTTCTAATTGGAAGAAATATTTTACATAGCAGCAAATGTGCAATGATTTTAAACCACAACTGAGAGTGCTGCTGGAGTTTTACTGTTTTAAAGGCTATAGGTGCTAATGCATGCGCTAAGTGTAGCAGCCTGTAGCAGTTACTCCTCTCATTGTTTTACTTTTTAAATATTTTTTAGATTATTTTATTTTACAACATTAATTATTTTGCACTTTCATATGGTTATATTTGTATTGATATTTATTACCTCAGATGGAGTAGCTTATCAACGAATAAGGAATTTCCCCTTAGGGATCAATAAAGTCTATTCTATTCTAGAGCTGGAGCTAAGCTGGTCACTTTGTCTATATTCACACAGCAGGTGTAGATGATCAAATTAGTTATTTAGTCTTATTTATTTATTATTTTATTTTAATCCAATTTTTTGTTTTTGTTTTTGCGTGGTCGTTCATGCTAATAAAATGCGGTCGCAGTCTGACTTCTGTGTGAACGGTTTACGAGCCCAAAGCGACCCGCATGCGCAGAAGAAGAACGTAGACGTCACACAGCAGCGCTCTGTTTACGGAAGTAATATTGGCTGATGTCGACTATTTATTTCATTATTATTTATTTCATTCTTATCATTTTCAGCCGTTATTGTTTCCATCGCCTGGTTTCTTCTGGAGTAGAATTATGACGCATGTCTGACGTCAGTTATAAAAAAGTTGGATAAAATGTGACATGACCGTTTTGACTGCAGACGCTTCGAAAACCATATGATTTAGCTCCTCATATGAAAGTTTTTATTTTTTTTATTTTTTTAATCAAACTTTATTTAAACAAGGTAAATACAAACAAGAAAGGCAAATACATGAAAAATAATGAGACATATGTTCCTCATTTGAAAGTGGGACAGATCAGATTTTGGTGAAAATTTGTAATTGGACCGTCATGTTTGCCTGCTAGCCTAGCTTCTGACCCGGTGCCGCTGGAGGAGTCCAGCAGGACCAGAACCTCTGGCTCCAGGTCCTGGTGGAGAGGCGGGTTCTGTTGGTATCTTCAACATTCATTCCTCCGTTGGTTCTGATCATTTATTAAATGGGTCAGATCTGTAGTTGTAAAGGGAGTGCGTTGAGGACTTTAGCCTTTACTCATGCTTGACCTATAAACAACAAGCCTTCGGCCAGTAGGTGGCAGCAGTGCTCCAGCTAGTCAACAGGCTGCTTGTTCAACCCAGGAGAAGAAGAAGCCGACAGACGCGCCATGATGGCGACGTTTGAGACTGAAAACAAAACGGCGGCAGAGGCAAGTAAAGGAGTATTGGGCTGGAGAAGATTAAGATGAATTATTTAGTCATCATAGCAGCAAGTCCTTCTTTGTAAAATCTATACCAAAGTGTAACTTAAGATGCTAAACATTTCTCATTTTCAGGCAGCTTCGTGTAGCAGTTCGCACGTCATAAGATTACAATTTACTCACTTTTGAGAATCACACACAGCTGCAGTCTGGATTAAATGTTATAAATTCAATTAACAAACCAAACTTGGACTTAAAACAATAAAATGAGTCGCATTAGCTTAAGATTTCAGTTTTTGCATCTCATTTTATTAATTTGTTTTGATAATCAGATTGAGTGCAGAGTGCTGGTGCCACTGGTTTGTACTAATAAATAATGAAATATTATCAAATTCTCAATAATATTTCAATTTGGGAGTCATGAATAAACATTAATGATGCCAGTGGGGGTCTGACCTGACAAAACAGAGTTGAGGAACACGCATTAGATGAAAGCAACTCATTGAGTGTAGATTTGTAGATACTATACTAATTAACACCTGCACTGATAACCACTTCAAAAATATGAAAATGTGACATAATTAAAACAAATTTTAAAAAATGTTACAAATGAATTAAAATGAACAAAAACGCATATAGTAGCAACGGCTGCTTTTATCATCTTAATGAAAAGGAAAAGGTGAAGGAGGAAGTTGATTCAACTATTTAAACACAAACTTAATGAGCTTGAATAAAATGTGGCAACGACGGATTCTGAATAGTTTTGACAGATTAAAGACTTAATTATAGATTAAGTTAAGTTTTTACCTTTGGTGGGCGACTGTAGCTCTGTGGGTAGAGTCGTCATCTTGTGATCGGAAGGTTGTAGGTTCAATTCCAGCTTCCTCCTGCCAAAAGACACTTAACCAGCCTGAATGTGACTCTAGTGTAAAGCACCTTGAGTGGTCAAAATGACTGGAAAAAACACTATATAAGTTATATAAATGGACTGAACTATGTAAGTCTGAATGTCTGCGCTCTCACTTACTGCTGGAACGCCTTTATGTTTCTGTTCTGTTGTAATATTTGCTGTCTCTCACATTCCTGCTGAGGAGAAATGTTGACCGGAACTGGAGTGTAGTCTCAGAAAGTGGGTTTTGCTCAGAGAAAGTTCTGTTTTCTTCTTCCCTCCTCGTTTTAAAAGGCAAACAAGGGAAAGAGTGTAGGAGAGAGGAGGGAAAAAGATGAATTGGGAGAGACGAGTGGAAGTTTTGCAGAAGGTTGGAATGGATATATTAGAGAGCTGAAGCAGCGGGGGATGGAGCGGGGCGAGGAGATAAATGCCAGAGCGCTCTGAGTGTTGGAGCGTTGTCTGACACGGCCTGTAAAGCTGCAGCTTCATGTCTCATGCTCTTTCAAGTGGGGAGCAGAAAGGCCTTCGTTGCAGCTGCTGTCCCATTGAAGTGTGCTCTCATTAAGACCAACCTCACGCCTCCCTGTGATCCTCCGGCCGCCGCAGCGGGTCGTTTAGATGCTTGACTCAGAGCGGCGGCGCTGAGGTCACTGCTAACCCTGCTGGGCGCTCAGGCTGGAGGAAACATGATGAGTCTGAGAGGACAGACTGGCAAATGGACGGGAAATGCACATGGAATTAAAATGAAAACATAGCATGGTTTGTTTCTGTGTGTGATCACAAACACCTGGACTGTTATCTGAGCGGAGGAAAGCAAACGGAGTAACGACACCCCTTCAACGATTTCCACATTTTGTTACATAAATACAGATTTGTTTGGCTTTGACAGAGCAACACAAAGTGATGCTTCAGCCGTTTCTGGTTTCTCTCCACTCAGTCTGACAGGATGGAGAAAAACTCAGAACATCAGCTTTCAAGATTTTCTGTTGGATTTAGTTCTGGACTTTGACCAGTGGGTCCTGGAGGGCCGGCATCCAGCATGTTTTAGTTCCTCTGGATCCAATGATGGCTCGTTAGAGGCCTAAGAAGAAACTGGCCTGCTGAGGAGGTTGTTGTCCTCCAGGACCCACTGGACTGGACCATCCTGACCCACAAACCACCTCTGATCTAAACCATCCCATAATATCTTTCTTTTGTTCTGTGATTGTCCTGATTTAGCTCCATCCATCCTCCCACAGTATGATGCTGCCACCACCATGTTTCCCAGTGGGGGTGCTGTGTTCGGGGCATTGTGCTGCTGTACCCGTTTTCAGTCTGGTAGAAACTTTCCTCTCAGACTCTCAGCTGCAGCAACGCCTTTCTTTTACCTTCAATTAGGGGGTGATGAATTTATTTTCCCACCACACTTTTCAGATTTTATTTGTAATGATTGTTCATTTGTTTGGTCTCAGAAATCCCAGTGAAACTCGTGGAAGGTGGTTCCTGTATGAATCAGTAATAAATGTTTTTTATTTCCTGGATGCTGACCTTCTCTCTTTGTGTCTCTGCTTTTCTCTCCGCCTGACCCGACTCTGCTGGAAACCACAGTCTCACGTGAGTATCTGCTTCTGGCCAGGAGAAAACCTGTCACACACACACACACACACACACACACGCACACACACACACACACACACACACACACACACCATAATCCAGCAGATTAAGCTAACGTCTCACCATGAGCTTCCTGTGGCTGGTGCTCCTGTCACCTGAGATGCCTTTAATTCAATGATTAACTTTTGGTTGTTTTAATGGAAGAAAGCAGCCTGATTGTGTGTGTGTGTGTGTTTTCAGGTAATTTTGACAGAGAAGACGGTGCACCATATCTTCCGACTGACAGGCCCCGGCGCTGACCAATATCCCAATGATCTTTTCACCATTGACACAGAGACAGGAGACGTGTCAGTCAGCCGCTCACTGGACCGAGAGACCATCGACTCCTACCAGGTCAGTGCACGTGTGTGTGTGTGTGTGTGTGTGTGTGTGTGTGTGTGTGTGTGTGTGTGTGTGTGTGTGCGCGCGCTCGTCCTGTTAGTTTGGATGTTCTCTCTGCTCTTTCTGCCCACTGATCCTTTGACAAGTGTCAGTTTCTTTGTTCGTTAGATTGCCGCTTTGTTCACCAGTTATTTACTTTCCAACTCTGAGAATTTATTCATGGGAATTTGCAGGCCGTTGATTTTTATCATGTGAATGAAAAAGAAAACTTGTTATGGAGGAGTTTGTGAAAGTGCCATTGATTTGCAGCCACACAATCCAAATATTGGCGGTGCTGTTTGGGGAAGAAAAGGACTGATCCTATCAGAAATAGGTGATTTATTCCTTGTCAGACGCAGAGGATGGGCTGTTTTAGAGGCCTGCTGGGATTTTTGCTTGTAGTGCTGTGTGTCTAATAAAGGCAATACTCTGGAAGAAAGAGAGGGAGATAAGGTGAGAGAGAGTCTGCTTTTTAAAGCTGCCAATTGACCTTATCTTGTTCTGAGGAATCTACTGTGGCTCAGGACGTTCAGCTGCTGATAAGCTAAGTGGATATTGTAAAAACTGAAATAAGTCAGTCTGTAAATAGCAGCAGATGTGAGGAGATGAACAGATGTTCATCTTCTTCTGTTCATTAGTATTCCAATATGGCTGCCGGTAGTAAGGATCAGGCTCCCATCTTCTTACCTGTCTCAGTCTGACGAAGCCTCCAGATATAAATTCACGTGTTTGCACATGAAAATGCAATTACATTAAAATACATACCAGCACATATCCATGCATGCATATGTATATCTATAATTAAACTCACACCAGATTTAAAAACCGACTAGAAATGAATGTTTGTCATAAAACTTATTAAACTGCATCAGACTGAATCTCTCAGAAACCATAAGGAAGAATCAGTTTTTATTTCTGACAGAGACAGAAATAAAACCGGCCGTCATCCTTCACGGCGGCGGTCGGGGCGGGCCGCCGTGTTTCTGTATTTAAGAGGTTAAGTGGATAGGAAATGTAAAAATATTACTGGGTAATTACATGTTGCTGGAAAACATCATCAGGGAAACAATATTTAAACCCACAACTAGTCTTTGAGTTTGAGCTGTTTGCCCACAAACACAAAAGTAAACTGGATGATAACTGATTGTTTTTATGTTGGCCAGTTAAACTCCTCCTCCTCTCCCAGATTAAATCCAACACAGTTAGAGCTGCTGATGGGGCCCCTCAGTCAGATTCTGCTCCAGGCCTCATCAGCCTTGGACCGGCCCTGCAGGACGAGTTAATCTGGGTTGGTACATCGTGTAACCGGAAAAATGCTAAAAATAAAACTGAAATAATCTAAAACCAGCGTAAAGTGTGACATCGAGGCGAGGCTAAAGCTCCTCACCGGGCTGGACCTGCATGATGAGGTTAGCGCTGGTTCGTTAGCCGCTAACGCTCCGACCAACCGGGACACAGACATGAACTTTACAGGGCAGACAGCGCCACACGCTGGGCAGCGAGTTGAGATGGAAACGCTGCATAATCACAGATATAAATCATTCTCACCGCTCCCTCAACCCGCTGAAAGAAAGACGACAAGTTATTCCTGCGGTTCACGTAGAGCTGCTCAACCAGAGCCAACGCGGCGGGTTTTAGACTCCTACCTTGATGTGGAGTTCTCTAAAGAAACATGAACATGTAAATATCCACACAGGTCAGCCTGAGTCCAGTTTGAGTGAAAGCAGGCGCGTGGTCCATGCTGAGGTAAACTTTAGAGATGAAGCACACACACACATATATTTCCTAAAAACACAAACGAGCATCGCTTGGCCTGGTGGGGGGCCAAGGAAACCTGCTTCAGCTTTACGCATCAGAAACAGAACACCGGATAAAAATGGTCGTCTCTGTGTTTCCAGAAGGTTCTGCTGCTCCGGTCGGGTTTCTGCATCATCTGGTGATGTTTGTTCTGCTAAAGGTTGTCTGGCAGGTGGAGACTCTCTGCTCAAAGTGAGCTTCCTCCAGCATTGGAAACGTTTAGCACACTTGGCTCCAAAATGTTTTACAGATTCAATGACCTGCTGATTCACAAACTTTCAGTTGAATAATGTTTGTGTCGATTTCATGCAGGTGATCGTATTAAAATAATTTACTGCTAATTATGGATTACACAAAGGTTTTCATGATTTCCAAACTAACTGATTTATTTAGTCTCATGAGGAACATTTCACAGTTCAGCTGGCAGCCAAAGCAACTAATGTCGGAATGAAGGTTGGCTATGATCAATCTAAAGTCTAGGAAAGCAATTTAAAGAGAAACTAAAGTCCAAGTAAACTTTTCCATTTGGTAGTTAAAGCTGTGATTTATGAATCAAATTGGGCTCCTTCCAGAGTTTAAGTGAAAGCTGTTATATCAAACCCTTCCTCATCTTCTAATATGAAAACTACAATAAAATGTTGCATTTCTCATCATTTCTGTGGCTCTAAATCACCAAACAGTTCACTAATATAGACATGAAACTTTATCAACAAAACACAACGTTCTGATCACATTGGAAGCAGAAGGATCAGAATATTCAGAGCGAGCTGAGCTGAACGCAGTAAAAACACAGGATGCTCTGAGGCTGCTGCAGTCCTGGATTGAGCAGATATTTCACGTCTGCCAGATGTGAATAGATGTCTCAGAATGAGTTTGACGTTTTGAGTTGAATGGGTAACATTACATGAGTCATTAAACGAATGACAACCACCATCAGACGAAATGCTGCATTTGTCATATTCTCCTGACTTAAAAGCAGTCAGCTTCTTTCATGCACATTTTCATTCTTTAACAGATTTAATGTTTGAAATTATGATGATAAAGGAAAAAGTGCAGAAGATCAGAAAGACCCAAAGAGCCGACGGCGCTAAATAAAACCTAACAGACAATAAAAATAAAAATCGGAGTAATGAGTACTCTGATGTTTTAAGGATGCTTTTGTAAAAATCGCCTTCAAAAAGGCTTCAGACCCCTGAGCTGTGTGGGTCAACAAATTTCACTTTATGTTATCAGGACTGTAGAATAATGAAAAACAGAAAACAATGTGAACAATTTCTGTTTCTTTTAATCAAAAATTAGCACATTTTATCCCCCTTTACTCTCAAACCCCTAAATAAAATGAAGTACCAAGCTGGTGTGATTTTATGTGTTCATTACTTAATCCAAATATAAAACAGTCAATCATTTACATAATTAGTTATTATTGCTGCAGAATGTAAATATATTCACCCATCAACTTTTTACCAACGACAGAAAACAGAAGCAGAGTAGATGGAAGCCTCACATGGAGCTGAACAGGGCTGCTGCTTCTGTGTGTGAATGTTGTCGTCTTTGATGGTCTTTTGGCAGAACTATGTATTTAGTTTGAAAACAGGCAGGATAGATGTTCAGACCTGGCCTCCAGAAGACGAGCCGGGGGATTTTACTGGGAAGGTTTAGCCGTCGCACTCACAACGTTCCAGCTGCTGCCTCTTCAGGCGCCGTCCTGAAAACACACGGAGAACGCTCAAAAATAAATCCTTACTGTGTAAAAACTAAAAACAAGATGCCATCATTCCAGCTGGATTTGATGTGTGAATCCGTAATTCGTCTGTATGTTTCCGTTGCTGCAGCGTATGCGGTTACCATGCCGACTGTAATAAAGAGGGATTTAACTGGGCTGCTGGTTCCTCAGGGAGAATCTGCTTTCATCTTGTCATCTGCCTGCATCTCTTTGTTGGATGCTGGTGACTATTATTTGTAGTATTATTATTATTTTCCAGGAAAATATTGTTTATATGAAGCCTGATTGATTCAAGTCTGCTGTGGTAAAGAAAACAGGCTTTTTTCAGTTTGAAACAAAACTATATGGATGGATGGATGGATGATGGATGGATGGATGGATGATGGATGGATGGATGGATGATGGATGGATGGATGGATAATGGATGGATGGTGGA